CCCGTATCAACAGTATGATCGACTACAAAGTTTCCTCTATCTCTCCAGCCTCCCGTATCAACAGTATGATCGACTACAAAGTTTCCTCTATCTCTCCAGCCTCCCGTATCAACAGTATGATCGACTACAAAGTTTCCTCTATCTCTCCAGCCTCCCGTATCAACAGTATGATCGACTACAAAGTTTCCTCTATCTCTCCAGCCTCCCGTATCAACAGTATGATCGACTACAAAGTTTCCTCTATCTCTCCAGCCTCCCGTATCAACAGTATGATCGACTACAAAGTTTCCTCTATCTCTCCAGCCTCCCGTATCAACAGTATGATCGACTACAAAGTTTCCTCTATCTCTCCAGCCTCCCGTATCAACAGTATGATCGACTACAAAGTTTCCTCTATCTCTCCAGCCTCCCGTATCAACAGTATGATCGACTACAAAGTTTCCTCTATCTTTCCAGCCTCCCGTATCAACAGTATGATCGACTACAAAGTTTCCTCTATCTCACCAGCCTCCCGTATCAACAGTATGATCGACTACAAAGTTTCCTCTATCTCTCCAGCCTCCCGTATCAACAGTATGATCGACTACAAAGTTTCCTCTATCTCTCCAGCCTCCCGTATCAACAGTATGATCGACTACAAAGTTTCCTCTATCTCACCAGCCTCCCGTATCAACAGTATGATCGACTACAAAGTTTCCTCTATCTCTCCAGCCTCCCGTATCAACAGTATGATCGACTACAAAGTTTCCTCTATCTCACCAGCCTCCCGTATCAACAGTATGATCGACTACAAAGTTTCCTCTATCTCACCAGCCTCCCGTATCAACAGTATGATCGACTACAAAGTTTCCTCTATCTCTCCAGCCTCCCGTATCAACAGTATGATCGACTACAAAGTTTCCCTCTGTGTCTATCTCTCCAGCCTCCCGTATCAACAGTATGATCGACTACAAAGTTTCCTCTATCTCTCCAGCCTCCCGTATCAACAGTATGATCGACTACAAAGTTTCCTCTATCTCTCCAGCCTCCCGTATCAACAGTATGATCGACTACAAAGTTTCCCTCTGTGTCTATCTCTCCAGCCTCCCGTATCAACAGTATGATCGACTACAAAGTTTCCTCTATCTCACCAGCCTCCCGTATCAACAGTATGATCGACTACAAAGTTTCCTCTATCTTCTCCAGCCTCCCGTATCAACAGTATGATCGACTACAAAGTTTCCTCTATCTCTCCAGCCTCCCGTATCAACAGTATGATCGACTACAAAGTTTCCCTCTGTGTCTATCTCTCCAGCCTCCCGTATCAACAGTATGATCGACTACAAAGTTTCCTCTATCTCTCCAGCCTCCCGTATCAACAGTATGATCGACTACAAAGTTTCCCTCTGTGTCTATCTCTCCAGCCTCCCGTATCAACAGTATGATCGACTACAAAGTTTCCTCTATCTCTCCAGCCTCCCGTATCAACAGTATGATCGACTACAAAGTTTCCTCTATCTCACCAGCCTCCCGTATCAACAGTATGATCGACTACAAAGTTTCCTCTATCTCTCCAGCCTCCCGTATCAACAGTATGATCGACTACAAAGTTTCCTCTATCTCTCCAGCCTCCCGTATCAACAGTATGATCGACTACAAAGTTTCCCTCTGTGTCTATCTCTCCAGCCTCCCGTATCAACAGTATGATCGACTACAAAGTTTCCTCTATCTCTCCAGCCTCCCGTATCAACAGTATGATCGACTACAAAGTTTCCTCTATCTCACCAGCCTCCCGTATCAACAGTATGATCGACTACAAAGTTTCCTCTATCTCTCCAGCCTCCCGTATCAACAGTATGATCGACTACAAAGTTTCCTCTATCTCTCCAGCCTCCCGTATCAACAGTATGATCGACTACAAAGTTTCCTCTATCTCTCCAGCCTCCCGTATCAACAGTATGATCGACTACAAAGTTTCCCCCTGTGTCTATCTCTCCAGCCTCCCGTATCAACAGTATGATCGACTACAAAGTTTCCTCTATCTCTCCAGCCTCCCGTATCAACAGTATGATCGACTACAAAGTTTCCCCCTGTGTCTATCTCTCCAGCCTCCCGTATCAACAGTATGATCGACTACAAAGTTTCCTCTATCTCTCCAGCCTCCCGTATCAACAGTATGATCGACTACAAAGTTTCCCCCTGTGTCTATCTCTCCAGCCTCCCGTATCAACAGTATGATCGACTACAAAGTTTCCTCTATCTCTCCAGCCTCCCGTATCAACAGTATGATCGACTACAAAGTTTCCTCTATCTCTCCAGCCTCCCGTATCAACAGTATGATCGACTACAAAGTTTCCTCTATCTCTCCAGCCTCCCGTATCAACAGTATGATCGACTACAAAGTTTCCTCTATCTCTCCAGCCTCCCGTATCAACAGTATGATCGACTACAAAGTTTCCTCTATCTCTCCAGCCTCCCGTATCAACAGTATGATCGACTACAAAGTTTCCTCTATCTCTCCAGCCTCCCGTATCAACAGTATGATCGACTACAAAGTTTCCTCTATCTCTCCAGCCTCCCGTATCAACAGTATGATCGACTACAAAGTTTCCCCCTGTGTCTATCTCTCCAGCCTCCCGTATCAACAGTATGATCGACTACAAAGTTTCCTCTATCTTTCCAGCCTCCCGTATCAACAGTATGATCGACTACAAAGTTTCCTCTATCTCACCAGCCTCCCGTATCAACAGTATGATCGACTACAAAGTTTCCTCTATCTCTCCAGCCTCCCGTATCAACAGTATGATCGACTACAAAGTTTCCTCTATCTCTCCAGCCTCCCGTATCAACAGTATGATCGACTACAAAGTTTCCTCTATCTCACCAGCCTCCCGTATCAACAGTATGATCGACTACAAAGTTTCCTCTATCTCTCCAGCCTCCCGTATCAACAGTATGATCGACTACAAAGTTTCCTCTATCTCTCCAGCCTCCCGTATCAACAGTATGATCGACTACAAAGTTTCCTCTATCTCTCCAGCCTCCCGTATCAACAGTATGATCGACTACAAAGTTTCCTCTATCTCTCCAGCCTCCCGTATCAACAGTATGATCGACTACAAAGTTTCCCCCTGTGTCTATCTCTCCAGCCTCCCGTATCAACAGTATGATCGACTACAAAGTTTCCCCCTGTGTCTATCTCTCCAGCCTCCCGTATCAACAGTATGATCGACTACAAAGTTTCCCCCTGTGTCTATCTCTCCAGTCTCCCGTATCAACAGTATGATCGACTACAAAGTTTCCTCTATCTCTCCAGCCTCCCGTATCAACAGTATGATCGACTACAAAGTTTCCCCCTGTGTCTATCTCTCCAGCCTCCCGTATCAACAGTATGATCGACTACAAAGTTTCCCCCTGTGTCTATCTCTCCAGCCTCCCGTATCAACAGTATGATCGACTACAAAGTTTCCTCTATCTCTCCAGCCTCCCGTATCAACAGTATGATCGACTACAAAGTTTCCTCTATCTCTCCAGCCTCCCGTATCAACAGTATGATCGACTACAAAGTTTCCCCCTGTGTCTATCTCTCCAGCCTCCCGTATCAACAGTATGATCGACTACAAAGTTTCCCCCTGTGTCTATCTCTCCAGCCTCCCGTATCAACAGTATGATCGACTACAAAGTTTCCTCTATCTCTCCAGCCTCCCGTATCAACAGTATGATCGACTACAAAGTTTCCTCTATCTCTCCAGCCTCCCGTATCAACAGTATGATCGACTACAAAGTTTCCTCTATCTCTCCAGCCTCCCGTATCAACAGTATGATCGACTACAAAGTTTCCTCTATCTCTCCAGCCTCCCGTATCAACAGTATGATCGACTACAAAGTTTCCTCTATCTCTCCAGCCTCCCGTATCAACAGTATGATCGACTACAAAGTTTCCTCTATCTCTCCAGCCTCCCGTATCAACAGTATGATCGACTACAAAGTTTCCTCTATCTCTCCAGCCTCCCGTATCAACAGTATGATCGACTACAAAGTTTCCTCTATCTCTCCAGCCTCCCGTATCAACAGTATGATCGACTACAAAGTTTCCCCCTGTGTCTATCTCTCCAGCCTCCCGTATCAACAGTATGATCGACTACAAAGTTTCCTCTATCTCTCCAGCCTCCCGTATCAACAGTATGATCGACTACAAAGTTTCCTCTATCTCACCAGCCTCCCGTATCAACAGTATGATCGACTACAAAGTTTCCTCTATCTCTCCAGCCTCCCGTATCAACAGTATGATCGACTACAAAGTTTCCTCTATCTCTCCAGCCTCCCGTATCAACAGTATGATCGACTACAAAGTTTCCCCCTGTGTCTATCTCTCCAGCCTCCCGTATCAACAGTATGATCGACTACAAAGTTTCCTCTATCTCTCCAGCCTCCCGTATCAACAGTATGATCGACTACAAAGTTTCCTCTATCTCTCCAGCCTCCCGTATCAACAGTATGATCGACTACAAAGTTTCCTCTATCTCTCCAGCCTCCCGTATCAACAGTATGATCGACTACAAAGTTTCCCCCTGTGTCTATCTCTCCAGCCTCCCGTATCAACAGTATGATCGACTACAAAGTTTCCTCTATCTCTCCAGCCTCCCGTATCAACAGTATGATCGACTACAAAGTTTCCTCTATCTCTCCAGCCTCCCGTATCAACAGTATGATCGACTACAAAGTTTCCTCTATCTCTCCAGCCTCCCGTATCAACAGTATGATCGACTACAAAGTTTCCTCTATCTCTCCAGCCTCCCGTATCAACAGTATGATCGACTACAAAGTTTCCCCCTGTGTCTATCTCTCCAGCCTCCCGTATCAACAGTATGATCGACTACAAAGTTTCCTCTATCTCTCCAGCCTCCCGTATCAACAGTATGATCGACTACAAAGTTTCCTCTATCTCTCCAGCCTCCCGTATCAACAGTATGATCGACTACAAAGTTTCCTCTATCTCTCCAGCCTCCCGTATCAACAGTATGATCGACTACAAAGTTTCCCCCTGTGACAATCTCTACCAGTTCGCCTGTGGAAAGTGGCTGAAAGATTCCATCATACCCAGCGATCAGGCCTCCATCTCAACGTTTATCAGCTTGAAAGATCGCATAGATATTATACTGAAAGGTAATTTCTTTTAAATGTTGAATCTGATAGTAAAACAATTTACCGCCATTTTGTGTAAACCCCTACCCTCTGCCTTTACGATTATTTCCTCCAACCCTGGCAGCTACATATTACGTCGCTAGCAGCGACTTCTGACACATTCGTTAGACTGTCCAGTTGCGGTGAGATTACGATATTGACCAAGTCTGAAAGGCTTAGGGTCAGGATTTCACTGAGGCCTTAAAAAGGGTTGGTAATCGCTCTTTCCACTAGTGTTTATCTACCAGTGGTTGCGCCCTTTTTGGGGGCAGCTATAGTGTTCAAAGAGTTTTGACCGGACTCCTATTGGCACGATTTTTGCTTAGTTCATCTTAATTTTTTGTAACATTTTTTATTCACTGTGTGTATGATCATATTTATGTATAATAAATTCATGGCTTACTGTTGCCGTTTACTTTGTCTTACTAATTAATTATTTTACGATTCACTTATTTATTCCAAGTAGGAAGAGGCTCCGTCCCTCCTACCGTTTGAATAGCATTTGTTTACTGTTTGTTATCTGTTAAGGCAAAACGTAATGGATAAAAAAATATATCGACAGAAGATAATAATACCCCCGAGTGCTTTAGTAAAATACATTCGACTTTTACTCATACAGGTCTCTTAGAGGAACCTCATCGACCAACAGATCTACCAAGCATGAGGAAGGTCAAGGATTTATTCGCCTCTTGTATGAACCAGGGTAAGACATGTCCTAAACACTAATAGATGTACCGTGCCAGTAGACAATCCGTGCTAATAGAAAAACTGTGCCAATAGACAAAATGTGCCAATAGACAAACTGTGCCAATAGACAAATAGACATCCGTGCTAATAGACAAACTGTGCCAATAGACAAAACGTACTAATAGACAAACCGTGCCAGTAGACAAACCGTGCCAGTAGACAAACCGTGCCAATAGACAATCCGTGCTAATAGACCAACTGGGCCAATAGAAACACCGTCAAAATTGACTTGACGACACACAGTTGCAACGTTTTCGGGGCATTTGTTTTCCACGAACTGTTATATCCAAACTGTTAAAATCACTTATGTCGGGGCGTTCTTAGTCTATTGCGTATGAACATGCATATATATATATATATATATATATATATATTTATATATATATATATATATATATATATATATATATATATATGTATATATATATATATATATATATATATATATATATATATATATATATATATATATATATACATATATATATATATATATTTAAATAAATAAATATATATATATATATATATATATATATATATATATATATATATATATATATGCATGTTCATACGCAATAGACTAAGAGTGTAACTCCATATCATGTTCGTACATCAACAGATCTACAAACCGCCCGTTCCGATAAGCCACTAAGGACAATCATAGATAATGAACTGGGTGGCTTCCCAATCATGAACGGCTCGTGGACAGAAGAAAACTTTGAGTTGGGTCACGCGATGCGGGCCATGCAAAGACGGTACCAGGAGGCGATTATCTCATTCTATGTGGACGTGGACTACAGCAACACATCCAGACAGATGTTGCAGGTCTGATTCATGTTCAGGTGTTATTGTTGTGGTGTTGTGTTTGTGGTGTTGTGTTTGTTGTGTTGTGTTTATTGTGTTGTGTTTGTTGTGTTGTGTTTGTTGTGTTTGTTGTGTTGTGTTGTGTTGTGTTTGTTGTGTTGTGTTTGTTGTGTTTGTTGTGTTGTGTTGTGTTTGTTGTGTTGTGTTTGTATTGTTATGTGTTTGTGGTGTTGTGTGGTCTTGTGTGTGCGGTGTTGTGTTTGTTGTATTGTTTTTGTTGTTTTGTGTTTGTGTTTGTGATATGGTGTTGTGTTTGTTCTGTTGTGCTGTGTTTGTGATATTGTGTTTGTTGTGTTTGTGGTGTTGTTTTTGCTGTGTAGTGCTAGTAATGTTGTGTTGTGCTTGTGGTGATGTGTTTGTTCTGTTGTGCTAAGTTTGTAGTTTGTTTGTCTTTGTTGTCTTGTGCTTGTGATGAGGTGTTATGTTTGTTGTGTTGTACTTGTGATTTAGTGTTGTGTTTGTGATGTTGTGTTTGTTCCATTTTTTACTTTCTCGTATATACGAAGTATAGAGAAAGTATTGTAATCGTGCACAAAAATCACTTGAAATTTTAACAATTTTCACCGTATTACACATCAGTCCTTCATCACATCCAAAGTATAAAGGACTTATTTTAATCGGGCAAAAATTATCAATCCAGATTTATCAAAATTTAGAGGTTTTATGCGTAATCCAGTCTAAAAACTGGGCTTTGCAATTCTATCCGTATGTCTGTGTGTCTGTCTGTCTGTCTGTCTGTCAGTGTGTAAACACGATAACTTGAGTACCGTTACAGCCAGATTGATGAAATTTCATATATAAGTATTTTATCAAAATCGTAGATCCGTATCAACTTTTGAGCGATTTCCGATAACCGGAAGTGGTACTTTTTCTACTTTGAATTTTTCAAAAGCCTATAATTTGAGGACTATTTCAGATAGATAAATGAAATTTCATATGTAAGTAAAAGATCAAATTCTCTACCATCTGTTAAATTTTGAGTAATTTCCATTGACCGTAAGTAGTAATTTACGCTACTTCCGATTTCTCAAAAATATAATGTAAATTTTTAAAGTACTAATAATATTGCGCACTATTATGCACTTTTTTATTTGGCGTTCACTTGGTGTTCAATTCTTTTGTCTACGAGATTGTATTCTATTTTTAAAACTTTAAGTATTTAAAATGTATTAAAAATCATTTCTATAGCCCGAGTTCCCATCCCCTGTTGTTTTATATAAGAATATTCGAGAAAGTTTAGGGGAGATCACTCCCGGTTTATTTACTAGCCGTTTCGTTTTGTGTTAAGTTTAACTACATTTACTTTCCTACAGGTTGACCAGCCCGGATTTGGGTTAGCTAAAACTTACCTGCTTGGTGCCAGAAACAGTACTTTTGTCGTGGCATATGAAACATTTCTCTACGGGATGGGCTCGCTGCTAGGGTTTGCTGACGTCAACAGGGCCAGGGCAGACGTCACGGAGGTTGTGGACTTTGAGATTCAGTTGGCAAACGTAAGCGTAGTTAGGACTTAGCTGGCCAATGTAAGTTAAGATTCAATAGGCCAACTTGAGTAAAGATTCAATAGGCCAACTTGAGTAAAGATTCAATAGGCCAACTTGAGTAAAGATTCAATAGGCCAACTTGAGTAAAGATTCAATGGGCCAACTTGAGTAAAGATTCAATAGTCCAACTTGAGTAAAGATTCAATTGGCCAACTTGAGTAAAGATTCAATAGGCCAACTTGAGTAAAGATTCAATAGTCCAACTTGAGTCAAGATTCAATAGTCCAACTTGAGTAAAGATTCAATAGGCCAATTTTAGTAAAGATTTAATAGTCCAACGTGAGTAAGATTCAATAGGCCAAGGTAATTTTAGATAATTATCCAATGCTACTGCGCCTAGAGTAAAACAGTCTTTACAGAAGAAAGAGGTTCCTTGACCTTACATGAATGTAATAGTAAACTATGGCTAAAATAATGGAGGAAGAAATCCAGCAATGAGGGTTGGAAAAAAGCAAATGTGTTTAATATGTAAACAAATCAAATATTGCAAAACTGCTTGTTAGGTTAATCAAATAACTTTATTACCTACTATATTAGCTTTTGTTTATTTACCACAGAAATGAATTTGAACCAAAAATCCGAAGTTTTCTCTGAGAACCCTTTGATTTTTTTTGCTAGATTTCTGTACCAGCAGAACAGCTTGTGTCTGTTACCAACTACTTTCACCCTACCACTCTCGGCCAACTACAGACAAAGTATGGCCAGGTATGTAAATACATATGGTCAGGTATGTAAATACATATGGTCAGGTAAATACATATGGCCAGGTACGTAAATTCATATGGTCAGGTACGTAAATACATATGGTCAGGTACGTAAACACATCTGGCCAGGCACGTAAATACATATGGCCAGGTAAACACATATGGTCAGGTACGTAAATTCATATGGTCAGGTACTAACACATATGGTCAGGTACGTAAATACATATGGTCAGGTACGTAAATACATATGGTCAGGTAAACACATATGGTCAGGTACGTAAATTCATATGGTCAGGTAAACACATATGGTCAGGTACGTACACACATATGGTCAGGTAAGTAAATACATATGGTCAGGTACGTAAATACATATGGTCAGGTACGTAAATACATATGGTCAGGTAAACACATATGGTCAGGTACGTAAATATATATGGTCATGTACGTAAACACATATGGTCAGGTACGTAAATACATATGGTCAGATACGTAAATTCATATGGTCAGGTATGTAAATTCATATGGTCAGGTACGTAAATTCATATGGTCAGGTACGTAAATTCATATGGTCAGGTACGTAAATACAAATGGACATGTATGTAAATACATATAGATAGGTTTTGACAGATAATAAACGGGGCACATTTTACTCTTAAGATAATGAACTGGACACATAATTGTGTTTTGGATAATGAACTGGACACATTATTTATTTTAGATAATGAGCTGGACACATTTTATATTTTAGATAATGAACTGGACACATGTTTATAATCTAGATAAAGAATTGGACACATATTTATAATTTAGATAATGAACTGGACACACATGTTTGTATTTTAGATAATGAACTTGATACATTTTTATATTTTACATAATGAACTGGACACATTATATATTTTAGATAATGAAATGGACACACATGTTTGTGTATTAGATAATGAACTGGACACATGTTTATATTTTAGATAACAAACTTGACACATTTTATATTTTAGATAACAAACTTGACACATTTTATATTTTAGATAACAAACTTGACACATTTTATATTTTAGATAATGAACTGGACACATTTTATATTTTAGATTATGAACTGGACACATTATATATTTTAGATAATGAACTGGACACATATATTTTAGATAATGAACTTGACACATTATATATTTTAGATAATGAACTGGACACATTTCTTCCAAACTTTGCTGAGTGACCCTCATATTGGCATCACGGAGATTGACGAGAGTGAGAGGGTCAACAACGTAGTTCCAGCATATTTCGACAGGCTCGCTGTCCTGCTCAACCAGACGTCAAAACGGTGAGTGTGTGAACTATGACGAGGTGTGGTGACTAAAAGTAATTTTTATTTAAATTAAAGTTTAATACAATGTTGAACAGTAGATGGAAACTATGCAACCTTATGAAGTAGTTGGTTCATAGAACTAGCCAGGGGCGTAGCGAGGGGGGGGGGGGGGCGGCGGGGGGTGCGGACCGCACCGGGTGACACCATTTAGGGGGGTGACACCAAGGCAAAAAAATAGCAAATTATATAGAGAAAAACTTGAAGGGGGGGGTGCAAATCGAAAGTTTGAGGGAGGGGGGGGGGTGCAAATCGAAAACTTGAGGGGGGGAGGTGCAAATCGAAAATTTGAAAGTTTGTCCCCGGGAAGGGTCGCTAAGCCTCTGGGGGGGGTGACACCATTAAGTGCCGCACCGGGTGACACCCGACCTCGCTACGCCACTGGAACTAACACTAGGGAAAATAGGAAAGAAAAATACGTACAGGTGCAAAGGGATTTCTCAAAAGATATGTAAATTAGAAATCGATTTGATCAAGGGACAGAAACACGGTTTGTGTCATCTTGTCTGCCTGACTGTCCGCCAGCCTGCCTGCTTGTGTGTCTGTGTGTCTGTGTGTCTGTGCGTCTGTGTGTCTGTGTGTCTGTGTGTCTGTCTGTGTGTCTGTGTGTCTGTGTGTCTGTGTGTCTGTGTGTCTGTGTGTCTGTGTGTCTGTGTGTCTGTGTGTCTGTGTGTCTGTCTGTCTGTCTGTCTGTGTGTCTGTGTGTCTGTGTGTCTGTCTGTCTGTCTGTCTGTCTGTCTGTCTGTCTGTCTGTCTGTCTGTCTGTCTGTCTGTCTGTCTGTCTGTCTGTCTGTCTGTCTGTCTGTCTGTCTGTCTGTCTGTCTGTCTGTCTGTCTGTCTGTCTGTCTGTCTGTCTGTCTGTCTGTCTGTCTGTCTGTCTGTCTGTCTGTCTGTCTGTCTGTCTGTCTGTCTGTCTGTCTGTCTGTCTGTCTGTCTGTCTGTCTGTCTGTCTGCCCTCTGTCTGTCTGTCGTCTGTCTGTCTGTCTGTCTGTCTGTCTGTCTGTCTGTCTGTCTGTCTGTCTGTCTGTCTGTCTGTCTGTCTGTCTGTCTGTCTGTCTGTCTGTCTGTCTGTCTGTCTGTCTGTCTGTCTGTCTGTCTGTCTGTCTGTCTGTCTGTCTGTCTGTCTGTCTGTCTGTCTGTCTGTCTGTCTGTCTGTCTGTCTGTCTGTCTGTCTGTCTGTCTGTCTGTCTGTCTGTCTGTCTGTCTGTCTGTCTGTCTGTCTGTCTGTCTGTCTGTCTGTCTGTTAATTTGTCTGGATAGCTGGCTGGCTGGCTAGCTGTCTGGCTGGCTGTTATACAACTGTCATACAGCACGCATCTGGGCGGCATTGCTTACATTTAATTAAATCACTTTTAGAAAAGAAGGTCACGCGTCTAAAAATACACTATTGGTAATATGTTAAGTTTCGTCAGACAAGTTACACTTGTACTAACCAGTTTAGAAACCCTCAAAAATTGCAATGTGTGTTTTAATACAATCCAATCAGAAAATTTAAAAAGCTAGACCACGCATCTAAATATAAACGATTGATAATGCATTAATGAAGCCTTTTTAAGAAATTGCGTCAGCCTTTCTTCCATGACCGCAGCAACGCGCGAGACGGGTATGCTACTAAGCTAATAAATATTTTTCTCTGATTCTCCAACAACACGTTTAGAATAATTGTTTTTGTTTATGTTTACTATGTTTATAGGACAGTAGCCAACTACATCGTGTTTAAATTTATGCTGTCTGTAAGCCAAATGATGGGAGAGAAATACTTAACCCTGTATTATGATTATCAAAAGGTAAAGCTAAACTATCCTTGAATAAGAAAAACTACATTAATTAGAAATGATTGTTTTTTTTAAATTAAGTTCATTTTTTTAATGTACCATTTATATTATTTAGTTTAAAGCATTTAAATTTGAGTTTTTGAGAGCACAGTAAAACATAAAATTATCAACCTCGATACCGTACAATATGTTTCCAATTGTGACATTATTAACATATTGTGTGACGTTATGTGGTACAGGTGATATCCGGACAGATATCGAGGCGACCTGTCTACAAGTCGTGTGTAGGAACGGTCAGTAACTTCATCAACATGCCACTGGCTAAGATGTTCGTCCGAGAATACTTTGATGACGAGATTAAAGATATGGTATGTTAGATGTAAAAATTATCGCGGTCTAGCCCAGAGAAGCCCCCTTTTTTTTAATGTAAAAAGTGCACGCTCTAAAAGTTGAGCCACGCGACTTTTTTCCACCTGCAATTTAGTGCACGCACGAAACCTTGAGGATTAGGGTTAGGGTTGGGTTATGGTTAGGGAAAGGGATAGGGATACGTTAGGGTTAGATTTAGGGTTACAGATAGAACAAAATTGCAATTTCGAGGTATGGTGTGTTACATGTACAAATTATTGCAGTAACGAGATAAGTGATACGTTTTATTACATGCTACAACTATTAAAATGCGACATATAATATAAATGGCATGTAACGCCTAACACTTTCCTTGATAATTTAAGTAAAGCCCTGGTCTATTATATTTCAAATGTTAGCTAGACATGGGAGGCAATTTTAAAAGCATTTTTCCTTAGTCTCCAGTTGCTAACTATGTATTGTAATATTGAAAAAAAAAAACAATTTCCCTCATTCTCTTCACAAGGTAGTTTATCTCAAAAGAATTGTCCTTTGTTAGTGATCGGAGGTTATCTTTAAGAATTTTTTAATGTCTTCAGTTACTCGACATGGGAGGTAACCTCCAAGAGGCTTTCACTGAGCTGCTCCAGGATGTGACTTGGATGGACAACAGTTCCAAGATATTGGCTAAGGAAAAAGTCAGTAGAACACGGGTGTAGGACAAAAGGCCGACATACAAAAGGCCGACAAGACAAAAGACCGACTCGGACAAAAAGTCCGACACAATTAAAAGGCTGGCATCCAAAAGGCCGACTGGGCATAAGGCAAACAGACTATAAGGCCGACAGCCAAAAGACCGACAGACTCCAAGGCCGACAGACCACAATGCTGACAGACCACAAAGCCGACAAACCTCAAGGCCGGCTAATCATAAGGCCGTCAACAAATACATACTAATATCGCAAATATTTGTTGCTACAAAGCTTCTATCTAGACAACTATCGAAGAACGAAGCCAATAGCCGCCGGCACAATTGCCCATATAAAATAATGTGAAACGTTCCAGAAGAAGAGACAAAGTAAGTTGCTATCCTTATAAGGTAAACAATGAAGTACACGCGGCTGGAGATGACGGGAGTGTACAAAGATTAAACCGATAAGTGGTGTTACCACCATATTTCGCAAAAAAAAAAAAAAAAGAAACCGAATGAAGTTGACCGATCATTTGCTTTGATTGGACTTAATGTTAAATACCGACAAAATTTGAATTATATTTCAGTTTCGTCCATTGCGGATTGCGTAAAACAAATTATACTATATTAGTGGGATTGATTGATGCAAGGGTACCAAAAATTGGTACTTTTTGTGTTAAAGAGATTTATTACATTATCAATTGTAATAATACAAGTACAAAAACTTGTACTTGTAATTTCTTTATTAGTATCAAATAATAAAGAAATTACAAGTACAATTTTTATTAACACAAAAATAAGTCATATTCAGCCCACCTAGAAAAGCCATTAATAAACGTTATTATGCCGTTTTAATCTTTAAAGGTAATTGTAGTTTATTGTTTTTGAAAGCTTATAGGTCTTTTCTCCATATCGGTCTTTTCTCCATATCCGCCTTTTGTCCGTAGAACTAGTAGTTCAGTATAGTTTGTATGCTCGCTGCCCCAGATACTTCTCAGATCGACTTATGTATTGAACATTCCAGAATGACTTCATCAAGTTTGTAATTGGCTACCCACCCGAGCTCACAAATGACTCGTTTATCGAAGAAAAATACAAGAATGTAAGTTAAAAATATATATTTTTTATTTGATCCTTTTCTAGAATTATTTTTTGGTGCTGTAACATGCTAGCTTATATATATATATATATATATATATATATATATATATATATATATATATATATATATATATATATATATATATATATATATATATATACATTTACATGCATATATATGAATTTATATATATATATATATATATGTGTGTGTGTGTATGTATACATATTATATATATATATATATATATATATATATATATATATATATATATATATATATATATATTTATATATGTATATATGATATATATTTATATATTTATATATATATATATATATATATATATATATTTGTGTGTGTATGTATGTATATGTATATGTATGATTTTTTTCGTGATATCTTTTGCTGAGCTATTTTTCTGAGTTTATTTGTCCCAAGATCATTTGTTCTCTCACGTTCTAGTACACATTAAAGAACGACACTTACTTTGAGAACATAGCGGACATGAGAGTTGAGATCGCCTATCAGGACTGGCGAGTACTGAGGTGGGCTGGAGGTTCCATTCTGTGAGTAAATAAACCTGACTTTAGGCTGACACATGAGTTTTACTTGTGTCAATAATAGATGGTTGTGGATCACTCGAACAATGAGTCGTAGAAAATTTGCAATGAAATTAACTTTTCATGGTTTTTTTTACTACAGTCTTCTTTTTCTTTTTCTACGTTCTTAATTTTAGTGTTGGAAGTGATCCCCTCCAACACAAAATTAAGCATACGTGTCAACTGGTTATGCACCATTGAGGCCATTGACTCCGATTTCAGCCTGCTTTTGTTTTTAGCTTTGCTTCCATAGCCTTTGTTTAACCAAGAACAAACTACAAGGCAGCAGTTGTTTGATTTTGGAGTTGTCTCTCCTAGAAGAGTGGCTGTCCCCAGCTTGGTTTAGCAGCCATGAGCTTTACCGACTCGACCACGCAGACCCTTTACCACAGTGATACTAGAGGGTTTTTTTTTTTAACTAAGGGTGCATCGTATTTAACTAACATGATAAATCTCGTACGAGAGTACAATTGCAGCTGTCTTTAATGTTGTACTGTGCTGGTTGTTCTACTGGAGTTGTGGATTTGATATCGCACACTTACATTGGTAGGTTCAACACCCAGTCAATCAAATACCTACAAGCTCTCAATAATGGCAGTTCGATTATTTCAAGAACTTGGCTATTTAACTCAGAGATTTGAGTCTTTCGAACAGCCACCCCGGGAATGCACCCTCTCAAGTCTCCTATTAGATACACCACTGCTTATACGTTTAAGATAAGACAAATTAATTAATGATTTAATTATCCTACAGCTCATCTTTTAGCGCTACCGACATTAAAGCCAGCTATTTTTATGACTCAAATATGATCGGTAAGTCAAGTGTGATAGGTTTAATATGTAAAAAGTTGGGACATTGAGATGTGCAATACACGAACATCCAGATTAATAAATGACTGTTATCAATATGCTGAACTTAGAGACAGTTGTTAAGTCACTAATGTGTTTTAATTTGGTTAGCTTTATCTTATTTCATTGTAAGTCTCCTGTTACATTACTGTTTAACCTGCAAACAGAGGGTACTATACAAAATATTTATTTATTTACTAGCTGTAATGACTGGAATCTTGATGCCACCAGTCTTCAAAAAAACCTATCCCAAGTGAGTTAATTTTATGTTAATTAAAAAACAAATATTTCTTTCAAGTATGTCAATCGAACTTAGTTTTGAAACTATAAGCTTTTAGCAATTATAAAATATATAATTAAACTGCATGAAATTGAATAGTTTTTGTTTATGCTATATACATTTTTATATAAAAAAAACCTCAAAGGATAAGTGCATTTTTATCACTTGACCTAAACGGTATTAGCTGAGTATATTTTACAGTTTAGTTGCATTTCTAGTTGTTATTTATTTACAAAACTTGCTGCTAAGCCTGTCGGATCACAGGCAAAAAATTGGTTTTTAATCTAATGTTTATAAGATTGTTTTCTAGGTCAGGTCCTAAGGATGAATTTGTATAGAAACAACATAGAACAAAAAAAATGAACAAATATTTCATCAAAATTATGTACCATTGATTTAATTATACCAATGAAAACCAGTTGATTTATCATAGTTTATTAGCAGCTTATTTAAGTCGAATTACATAGAGACATATGGCGAGCTAAGCCAATTATTATGTAAGCTGCCAAGTCCACACCGACTTAAATTTCAAGGGGGAAATGGGTGGATATTGGTTAAAGTATAAAAATTTGACATAGATCAAGTGATTGGCAGTTAACGCGATTCGTGATGAGGGATGGGGGGGGGGGGGGGCACCAAGATGCCTGAAAGAAACTCTAATTCCACTTAACTATTAAGTTTAATATTTTCATTTCATAATATTGTTTCCATAACACGGTATCCTTGAGGGGGTTTTTAATTAAGAATAAATGAGGTTTTTATAAAAAGAAACAATTTAAAAAAAAAAAACCTCGGTAACTCATTTTTGAGGCTATTGACCTTTGATCGATGTAATTTATTTTGTTATGTACTGAGACTAATGTGCCATTTTTTAAACAAATATAAAAACGTATAAACTAAGTTTAAATTTAAATTGTATAAATTTTAAGAAATATTTGTATTATAGAAACGTTATAACTGTAACCTAGAAACTATTTCAAATAATGTATCGAGTTATGGACAACCGAAATAAGCCAATTAAAATACAAGAAATGACTGTATCTATTTTCTAACCGCCATGGTTTTAAAATTCGTATTTCACTTTTCATATTTATATAACCAGTCTTGCCCCTTCTTGACCTTTGTACCCTGTCTTCTAGATTCCTCAACTACGGCAGCCTTGGTATGATACTTGGGCACGAAATTACACACGCTTTTGACAGCCAAGGTAAATTCCAGCAAATATATCGCTAGTGGGGTAGTGCAGAATCAAGGTCAACTAAATTATCAATAGTGGGGTAGTGATTCAGCCAAAGTAAATTGAGTTACCTTTAGTGGGGTAGTGGTCAGCCCAGGTATTGTCTGTGGTGTAGTGGTCAGCCCAGATAAATTATGTTATCAATGGTGCGGTATTAAACAGCCCAGTTACATTACGCTATTAATAGTAAGGCAGTGGACAGCCCAGGTAAAGTAAGTTACTGTCAGTAAGGCAGTGGTCAGCCCAGGTAAATTAAGTTACTGTCAGTAAGGCAGTGGACAGCCCAGGTAAATTATGTTACTGTCAGTAAGGCAGTGGTCAGCCCAGGTAAATAATGTTACTGTCAGTAAGGCAGTGGACAGCCCAGGTAAATTATGTTACTGTCAGTAAGGCAGTGGACAGCCCAGGTAAATTATGTTACTGTCAGTAAGGCAGTGGACGACCCAGGTAAATTAAAGCAGAGGTAACATTTCACCGTCCCACTGTAGACACTACAACTCTCCAGTTAACTGTTACGAACTGAGACACAACCACGCATTTCCATTACTAGCAAGTCAGTAGGTAATCTACTCAACAAATACAGATTTCATCAAATGGAATGATTTTTATCTAAAGACCAAAACATCAAACCACAGCATATGTAACGTGTGCACACATTTCGTTTGTGCAGGTCGTAGGTACAACAAGTATGGTGAGATAGTGCAGTGGTGGTCTAGTGCTGCAGTTAATGCGTTCAACAGCAGAAAATTGTGCATGACATACCAGTACGGAAACTACACCATCAAAGCTTCAAACAAGACGTATAATGTAAGTTTATAATTTTAAGTTTTGGAACAAATGGTAAATACTATAAATAGTATAGACTTATCTATAGGAACAATAAGTAGATCAATGCTCTACCTTACTTGTCCTGGGCAAGACGCATGAGCGAGCGGCCCTTTCTTATCTCTCTCTCTCTCTCTCTTGAGGCATAGCAGGGGGGGGTGGTGCTGACGTTAGGTTTATGTCTAATATACATATTTACATATATATATATATATATATATATATATATATATATATATATATATATATATATATATGCCTGTATAGATATTTTTCGGGGTTGGGGAGAGACACCATTGGGTACCGTACCCGACCTAATGGCGCCACTGTTCCCCTCTTAGTTAAGTCCATGTCAGGGGCCGTGTTGGGGAAAATTTTGTTTTAATATTTGCATCTTCTGGCACTCATCTAGGCCGGCCCTCCTTGTTTCTCTATTAGGGATTGAATCTTCGGTCTAAAATCCGGATGAGGGGGGGGGGTCCTTTTAGAATTTTTCACAGGCCTGTATGTGTATATATTGATTTATGATCGTACCTTTTAAGGTCAGTGGTACCAGGTCTCTAAACGAGAACATCGCTGATAACGGCGGCATCAAACAGTCGTTTAAGGTGAAAATATGACGGTTAATTTATTCATTTTTATTTTGTGTTAAAAACAACAGATCAAAAGCTTGTATTTAGAAAATAAATGAAACATAAATATATTTCTGTAGAGTTTCCAATTGTTATCTTGCGACATGATGCCCGATTGGTTGTGTTCTAACAAAAAAAGCTAACATTTTATGAATTATGTCCCCTGCAGGCTTATAGGAACTGGGTGACGAAACAAGGGAGAGAAGAGCCAAGATTGCCGGGGTTAAACTTTACCAACAACCAGCTGTACTTCATCAGTCAGGCTCAGGTTAGTGGGGTGGAAGTTATACATAAACAGAAAATATAACCGTTAGAAGTGGGGTTGGGTTATAACCAGGAATAGTGTTTTACTTAGAACTGTTTGAATATCGAACGTTTTTTTTTTACTAATTTCATAATGTTAAAAATGTGTTAAAAATTTTGTTGTATCCCTTTAGGTAATATATTTGGTATTTTAGTATGTTCGTTTTTTTAAGTTGATAATTTGTTGTTAAATGATATACGGTATGAATAAAGAAATGAGACGTTTGTATTTTATTAATTGAATGGATTCATGGGGGATCAAAAAATAAACTGGACACCTCTATACCCAGTTAGGGCACCTCTACCTATAACTACAGACACCTCTGTCTATAACTGTAGACTCAATTGCTAATAAACACACTAGAAAAGGTTTATATTCTCTTCTCTAGACATGGTGCCAGTCTAACACAGACGCCCAGGCCTTGTACCTGCTCAACAACGATGTCCACAGTCCCTCTATATACAGGTGAGTTAGTTGGTGATTAAAAACTTAAAACTTTTTCGTCGTTACGTATATATATATATATATAAATATATATATATATATATATATATATATATATATATATATATATATATATATACATAAAATATTTATTTCTTTATCTATTTATAACATATCCTTTGCTCATTTTTACCCAGGGCCAACGGACCAGCACAAAATTTTCCCGAGTTTTCTAAAGAGTTCAACTGTCCAGTTGGGTCTTACATGAATCCTGTGGACAAGTGTAGTGTGTGGTGATGTGGTTGTGGACAGATGTAGTGATGGTGTTGTGGACTGATGTGGTGATGTGGTAGTGGACAGATGTGGTGATGTGGTAATGGCCAGATGTAGTAATGTGGTAGTGGACAGATGTAGTAATGTGGTAATGGTCAGATGTGGTGATGTGGTAGTGAACAAATGTGGTGATGTGGTAGTGGACAGATGTCGTGATGTGGTGATGTGGTAGTGGACAGATGTGGTGATGTGGTAGTGGACAGATGTGGTGATGTGGTAGTGGACAGATGTGGTGATGTGTTAGTGGACAGATGTGGTGATGTGGTAGTGGACAGATGTGGTGATGTGGTGATGTGGTAGTGGACAGATGTGGTGATGTGGTGATGTGGTAGTGGACAGGTGTGGTGATGTGGTAGTGGACAGATGTGGTGATGTGGTGATGTGGTAGTGGACAGATGTGGTGATGTGGTAGTGGACAGATGTGGTGATGTGGTGATGTGGTAGTGGACAGATGTGGTGATGTGGTGGTGAACAGATGTGGTGATGTGGTAGTGGACAGATGTGGTGATGTCGTAGTGGACAGATGTGGTGATGTGGTAGTGGACAGATGTAGTAATGTGGTAGTGGACAGATGTGGTGATGTGGTAGTGGACAGATGTGGTGATGTGGTCGTGGACAGATGTGGTGATGTGGTGATGTGGTAGTGGACAGATGTGGTGATGTGGTGATGTGGTAGTGGACAGATGTGGTGATGTGGTAGTGGACAGATGTGGTGATGTGGTGATGTGGTAGTGGACAGATGTGGTGATGTGGTGATGTGGTAGTGGACAGATGTGGTGATGTGGTAGTGGACAGATGTGGTGATGTGGTAGTGGAGAGATGTGGTGATGTGGTAGTGGACAGATGTGGTGATGTGGTAGTGGACAGATGTGGTGATGTGGTAGTGGACAGATGTGGTGATGTGGCAGTGGACAGATGTGGTGATGTGGTAGTGGACAGATGTGGTGATGTGGTAGTGGACAGATGTGGTGATGTGGTAGTGGACAGATGTGGTGATGTGGTAGTGGACAGATGTGGTGATGTGGTAGTGGACAGATGTGGTGATGTGGTGATGTGGTAGTGGACAGATGTGGTGATGTGGTAGTTGACAGATGTGGTGATGTGGTAGTGGACAGATGTGGTCATGTGGTAGTGGACAGATGTGGTGATGTGGTAGTGGACAGATGTGGTCATGTGGTAGTGGACAGATGTGGTGATGTGGTAGTGGACAGATGTGGTGATGTTGTAGGGGGCAGATGTAGTGATGTGGTCGTGGACAGATGTGGTGATGTGGTGATGTGGTAGTGGACAGATGTGGTGATGTGGTAGTGGACAGATATGGTGATGTGGTAGTGGACAGATGTGGTGATGTGTTAGTGGACAGATGTGGTGATGTGTTAGTGGACAGATGTGGTGATGTGGTAGTGGACAGATGTGGTGATGTGGTAGTGGACAGATGTGGTGATGTGGTAGTGGACAGATGTGGTGATGTGGTAGTGGACAGATGTGGTGATGTGTTAGTGGACAGATGTGGTGATGTGTTAGTGGACAGATGTGGTGATGTGGTAGTGGACAGATGTGGTGATGTGGTAGTGGACAGATGTGGTGATGTGGTAGTGGCAGAGGCGACGCAGGGCGGGGGCGGGGGATGAGGACCGCACCGGGTGACACCATTTAGGGGGTGACAACACGGCAAAAAAAATTGCACAATATATAGAAGAAAATGTTTTTTAAATAACAGATAATTTAAACGTTTTTTATGAATTTTTTTTTATGCTACATTTACACTGTCTGATTTATGCCACATTTATAGTGTTTAATTAAATTAAAAAGGCAACATAAAATCAACAATGGTTCGCATACATTAAATGAAAATTATATTTGATATAGAAAGGATTAAGTGAAGCGTAAAGTGTAGACTCTTTAAACTGCAAACTTGCTTAATCATAAAGAAAAACATTACACGTTACCCTCGACTGATCTTTAACAGGTAGCAGTGGCGGAACTAGAAAAAATGGGCCACCCCGCAAAAAATTTTTTTGGGCCCCCCTATATATGTATATATATATATATATATATGTATGTATATATATATATATATATATATATATATATATATATATATATATATATATATATATATATATATATATATATATATATATATATATATATATATATATACACACACTCAAACACAATACGAATATAGGATACTCCTTTCTGGCCTGATCGAGTTTTGAAAAAAAAATTCAATTAAATCTAATCACACCAGCATGTCATGTGTACATAAAATACTTCTAATCATTAAGTCGGTCAAAAGTGTATGAAGCTTTGTATAAGTAATGGTGTCTCGTGTTATGTTTATTTTTATGTTTTTTTGTATTTATATTATTAACTTTAACTACGTTTCATTTTTATACTATATCATTCTTTAGTACTTATTTTTTTTAAAATAATAATTAAGATAAGTAATTGCTTTTTAATTTGATTATTAAAAAGAGTTTTTGAGCACCCCTATTTGACTATTTGAAAAAGGGAAATAATTTATGCAAGTGGTTTGAACGTTTGCCTATCTTTCACACTACAGCTGTGTTCATTTTTTTTTAAATTTTACGCAACAGCAGGTCTTAGCTACTATATAACATAACTACTGTATTAGATCTGTATTCTGTTTGTTACTTACAAAACCACTATCAAGTTGCCAGTGACGAAACTAATTTATATATATTATATATATATATATATATATATATATATATATAAATATATATATATATATATATATATATATATATATATATATATATATATATATATATATATATATATATATATATATATATATATATATATATATATATATATATATATATATATATATATATATATATATAACACGCTATCATTCGTGTATTCATTTGAGACGTCTGCCTTGTTCTCTAGAACAGTGGTTATTAAACGTAAACAATGTAGGCATTTATTTCTTGGATATTAGTTGTTGGAGCGCTAGTTTATCAAAACTACCACCGATTCGAGCCAGCGTTGTTGTTGGAGCGCTAGTTTGTCTACACTACCACCGATATGAGCCAGCTTAGTTGTTGAGGCGCTATCTATTCGCTTCTTGTAAGGCTAAGAGCGGGAGGGGAGGTCTGAGAAAGGAACTTAAAAGGGACAACAAAGCACCAATGTGATTTTATCCATCAGCACCAAATTTGGGATGGTCTCAAAATGCCGTCTTAATATCTAGCGGCCTCTCGCGCAATTGATGTTTTTTCAAAAGAATTTTGCCGACAACAGCGTGTGTTTGTAGGAAAAAGAATATACAAGTGCGTGGGATGGTGTCTATAGAATAAAGATACTCCAACCACAGCTACGGTATTCTTTTTCAAAACAACCATCAGGTCAAAAATGCAAGAAAAATAATTTTAACTATAAAAAATTTTTTATGGGCGGCTGTGGGCCCCCTAAACGGCTTGTTCCCCCCCCCCCCTCCCCCAGGCATTGCGGGGTCTGGCGGCACTGTAGTTCCTCCCCTGGGCTGTCCTCAACAGCTTTCAAAGTTTTCATGGCGATTGGGTAAATATGCAGTAATGCAAAATAGACAGAAAAATGTTTTTCACATGCACAACTGTATGTGGCCAGCTCACGCGTCGGATAACCTTCTGATTTAAGGGGGGGGGGGGGGGGAATCCACAAATGACGTCACATTTTTTAACGACTAACAAAAAGCCAGACCCTCACACACCCCCACCTCAATAACATCATTTATAAATAGTAATTGACTATTAATTATATAATAATGTTCAATTAATTTTAAACGTTCTAATTAATTTCTAAATAATTATATAAAAAAATAATCTTACCTTCCTTGTTTTGTGAATTAGATGTGCCTAATACTAATACTATGCAAATAAATCAATATATGTTGACTAGTGCTGTCTAATGTCAGACAAAATGTGCTAAAGTGGTGAATCGTACGGTTAGGAAGTAGTTCATAAACGATACATTGGTCTACTCGATACTCGATAAAAAAGAGGGATGGGATGGGGGTCGGCTCGGGAAAAAATTTTGAAAGAGACAACAAAGCGTCTATGTACCACCGCCCATTAAAAAACTTACTCAGGGGAGATAATTCCAAGTAAAGGCCTTAAAAGTTTACTATGATATTTCTTGTAAAAGTAAAAAACAAGTAAACGTATATAAAAACGAAGTTTCTAGTATTATATTCTTTTTTATTATTTGTAGGATTCAAGATAGTACAGAATACAAATTCAACCACTATCACAAACACATGTACAATGGATTTCGGCGGGTCCCTAATTTATGCCGCAAAGTAGAACCGCGCATCATGAAAGCCACTTCATATGTAGCGGCTTCTCGTGCTATGGTCTTTGTTGTTTTTTTAAAAAGAATTTTGCCGGCGACAGCGTGTGTTTGATTGTGGGGAAATAGAACTCGGCCTTGACGGCCTTAAAAAATACAACTATAAATAAAAAGAAATTTGATCCCCATCCCCTGCCCCATCCGCCACAGTACACTTTGGAGGATCGGTCAAACAGTTACGTGTCCTCTATTTAGCTATCAAAGGGGGGCAACGAGTCAAATGTGTCATTCAAATTTGAAGCGTTGCCTATATTTTACACTGTATTTTGTGTAAAATCGATTTTTTTTTTTGCTGAAGAGCGTGGTATAGTGACTGTAAAATAAAGATAATCGTACCGCAGCTACAGTGTTTTTCTTTTACAAACTAAATATCAAGGCAAAAATGCACGAAAATTAAATTCAAAATTAAAAAAAAATACTAATTATGGTCAGCAGTGATTATGGTCAGCAGTGGGCCCCTAAACGGCCTGCCCCCCCCCCCCCCCTCGAGTTTTTCTCTATATATTTTGCTATGTTTTGGCCTTGGTGTCACCCCCCTAAATGGTGTCACCCGGTGCGGGTCCACACCCCCCCCCCCCCCCCCGAAGAAAAAAGTCTGG